GTGCCTATCGTCGACCCATTGCCATTACACGAATACACCAGCACTTAGTGTAACTATTGAGGCCGTGTGGAGAATCCACTCTTTTCACTGAAGTTAATATGAAATATCAACACCTAAACTGGAAAGCCCAGTGAACATCTTTAAGTTTATTCCTAATCATACCTTGAAGTTTGCCCCGGCCGACCATTACTGAGGCTGTACTGAAAATCCCTGCCGACAGTTACATACTGTCAACATTTTAGGTTTCGTACTTCCACTTTTCAGTATTTGATAATGTATATTTGGACGATATAGACTGACGCCTCCAGATATATACTTGCCCCGCTGAACTGTAATCTTCAGCTAACATGAATGTATAGCCTGTTACCAAGCTCTCCATCTATTTAGTTACTCCAGACGGTGATTGCTACGCCTGCAGCAGCCTTGCCCTTATACCTGCACTATTTCAAACCTCATGATGATTGGTAAGATAAACTGTGAAACCTTTTCCGTCTTGTGTTCTCGAAGGCATCTATCTAAATACGCTCTCGTGCTACAGCCAGAAGTAATGCGAGGTCTGGGACCCAGACGAATGGAATGTACCTACTTCTACATTCATACCTCTATAGCTATATCTAAAGCTAGACAGATGGTTCTGTGTTGCCTAGTGATAGTGGGTTACACTGCTCACTGACAGGACTCCCTAACGTTTACAATCGGCAAGAGTCATATTCTAGCACTTTCCAGGTTAAATGGAAAATATTGCAACGCTTGATGTAACTTGGCAAACTCGGCAAACTTGGTAAATGCCTGGAAGATATCTACTTGTCACGCTGAACTAAAATCCCCCCTAATATAAAATATATAGCCTTTGCCTAAAGACCGGCCACTATTCAACTTTCCATACTGCGAGGGGAATCCTTGCCTACGGTTTATAATGCATGGCCAACCTTTGCAGAACTGCACTTCTCTGCACCATGCAGAATTGAGAATCCACGCGTGCCGTCAGAACTGGATACATGAAAGCCCCTCGTGCTACTTGCCAGACTGAAATGTTACTTCAAACTTGAGCTTGATAACCTTGACTATCCTTAATGTAACTCCAACCTTATCAGAATTGTGTTTCTCGGCACCGGTACCTTTTAAGGATGACTTAATAGTCCACGCTTACCATTGGAGACAAGTCAAGCGAAGCGCTTTTTGTTCAATTTGTAATTTCCATGACAGAATCGTAAATCCTCCCAAAATCAAATCAAATCCTCCTCAAGCCGTAGCTCAAATCCTACCCATTGTCCTGGCGTGACCCACACTGCTGCCCCGGTATCATCTCATCATTACTGACCTTGATATGGCAATTTCAATAATTTGTCTAGCCTGCTGCGACGCCAAATGATCTTCAAATCTATTGGAGGTGGCTGTGGATCCTTTCAGATTGGAGTTGTCCACATTTCAATATGGATCGGAGGTCGGCATTACCCAAACTACCACAAATTAGATGATGCCCTACCGGATGTTCAGGGTTAATGTGTTTTTTATTGCAACAATCGCGTTGGCCAAAATGATACCTTGATTGAGAGTCGTATTTCGTCCACAAAAAACCTACGGCCTGTGTCATTTACAGACTATGAGGCGCCTCCTTGTCTTAATTTACTACCATCCTTTGAAGACATATACCTCTTACTAGTCTTAGCCTATTCAAGACTGATCTTAGGCTCACTGCCATTGCTTGAAGTCCTGCAGCCCTTAGCACCTTAGCAAGTTGGACGAAAATCCCCGCTAACATTAAGACATTGTGGAGGCACCTCTCCATCACTTTACATGCGGAGCTGCCGATCCACATCCGCCGTTAGAATTGAAGACCAGCTCTTCGTGAGCTTTTCATTTTAAACTTTGAATCCAAGCCGAGCAGACGTTAACATGAAGTCGCGTTCGTATCCTAATAGCATCATCCATCTAGGCTATGAAAGAAAGTACATAATGGGTTGGAGTTCAGGGCTACGTTCGTCCAAGAGCAGAGCTTCAAAGTAGGTCATGAAAACGACTTAAATTTTCAATATTCTATGTCGAAACTCCTAGCTACCCAGGGATGCGTGCCTTCATTTATACAGTTCGTACATAGAGAACGAAAAGAATGTTGGCATGATATTGATTCTGTAAATGACGACCTAATTTATATAATTAATGGGGAAAATGCCATAATTTAATGATGGTGACTGACGAGAATGCCACTATATTTGGAAGTTAGGTGACGATGAGTATCATTAAACATAGCTTATTCAAATCAGGACCTCATTTGAATAATTTATGAAGAAATACTAGAATAGACTTCTATGTTAACTAAGAGTTATTGGCTAGAGAACATAATCAACTCGTCCCGTTGAGGCATATTTTTCCCTAAAGCCGGACGTTTGGTATCTATTTGGTTTAGGACAGAACAGAAAAAACAATTTCCTACCGATGACTCATTCTTCACGAATCTCCAGATCTAAACATGGGTAGGTCCAGGTCTAGAGGCTAAACATGGGTAAGTCTTCCGAGCATAATTTCCGGTGTTTTCGTCCGTTCCTGGACACGATGCAATTTACACACAGGTTTCCAAGAAGCTGACCTCCAGGAGTTCAAAATTTACATGTTCACCCTACAGGAATCGCAGGAACGGACGTGAGCAAGACGATGGCCAGGCCGCGGCTTCTCAGCGTGGTGTGGCTACTTTTACAGGTACGGGGTTTCCTGTTTTTACCAACTGGTCTCCATCTATCTCTATTGACATTATCATAGTTCTCTGTGTATTAATTGTCTCTTCTTTTTATACCAAATGTTTCTTCTGTTCCTGCAATTAGCCCTCGGACATGAATTTGCAATAAAACATACATGTGTTAATTATATATTCATATGTCCATTTTTTACTGTTAGGGGATAACTTCTTTTAGAACATACATCTGTATCTCTCTCTTATATTTTAATTCTATATTGTACTTCATTGTACTTCTATCTACACATACTGGTTGCTAGATTTACAAGGAATGATTGACAAGGAATAGCTGTGATGTTAGTACAAATTTTTGTATTCAAATGCTTCTTGTTACTGACACTAACTATACATGCCAAGTTTTTGCCAACTCATAATCGACAAAAGTTGAATTTTACCACACAAACATACGACTTCTGTCTTATACAGCTACTACGTCTGCTATCATGGGGTTTTACCTCTGTGTAGGTAGTGGATAATAAATAGACCTACATTCTCCATCATGAGTGGGTTTTGTGATCTTGGTAGAAACGTACATGTATTTTAGACCTTTTAGCCTTTAGAGACGATGTCCATTTATAACTAAAGAGACCATACTAAAGACTTATGACGCAAACGTGTGTTTGCGGCTGAACGGTAAAGTTCACAGTAATACATCTCCGTATCCCTGTAGGCGGCCTTATTAACCTTAAGGCGCCGTTTCTAGATCCTTAAGCCCATTTCTCAATTCTGCCTCGATGTTAAGGGATGTGTAAGGAATGGGTGCCAACATTACATACGTCGTGCAAGCGTAAATGTCAATTGAATTTTGGAGTGCGCGAAACGAGAACTGCCTATCGCGACTTTGCAGCAAAACGCTTGATACATTTTGCACGTCCATTTAGAAAGGCATAGATAATTGAATGTGCTCATTTCAGTCTTTCCGCATGCCCTACAACTCCAAATGAACACTTTCTGAACTTTTCAGTGTTACGAAGTACGACGATAATTTTGTCATTAAGTCACACATTGAATTGCTTTCCTCATAATCTTAAGGAGCAAAGCTCTATAGCTCTCCAGCCAGTAATCAGTTGGCGGAGGCTAACTATCACTAGTATTAGTATCTTGCCTCCAAAGAACTTTGCCTGTTACTTTCGTCACACATAGTTCATGAAATTGTCTGTATCTGAGGACTAAAGGAGTGTAGTTGACTGGCCAATTCCTGCTGTAGTGACGGGAAATGATGACAACATTATCGTAAAGTTACACCGGCAAATGTCAATGTCATTTTGCAGTCCGAGAAGCAATAGCAGAGCGGACAAGCAGCAAATGTAAAACGCATTGGGATTGTCCACTGAGTTACGTTCCCCATACATATTTCACGAGATTGCCTGGGTAGTAGTATTTAATAGGTAACGTAGTTGGGTTTATGTGTGCAGTAGGAAAGGATACCGTACAAGCGTAAATGTCAATTCGATTTTGGAGTCCTCGAAAGAAGAACTGAACGTACGATCTGCCTATCGCTATCCTACAGCGAAACATGTACACTTGAAACATATTTGCTAACGTAAAAACGCATGTTTAATTGGATTTTTATAAAATTTTGGAAGTTACGAAAGTACAAAAAAAAATAGCATCGGGATTTATTCTCCTCATGCACAATTCACAAGACCGCCTGGACAGTAGCACTAGATGATCGTAGCCGGACTTATTTCTATTGTAAGTACGGGAAATGATGGCAAAATTACCACACAAGTTTGTCTTTGTTTGAGGAACTGGATTGCATCACGCAGCGCATTGCTACCTTATGGCCGAACACTTAGGCTCGAAATGCACTGTAAAGGAGAAACGGCATGTCTAATTGTGCTCATTTCGTGTTTTGGTTCGACCCCAAGCTTCTTGAAATGGGCAATTATGAACTAGTGTGAGTCACAGACATAATCATCCCATTTAGTAGCTCATTGGGATTTCCAAGAGTTACTTCTCGAAAAACACATTTGCGAGATTGCTTGAGACAGTAGCGCCTACGTTCTGCGATGGGATTCAAAGTTGCAGTTACGGTCTCCCACGTACGGGTGAATCCACGCAGTGGGCGTTAAAGTTTTATATGTGCAAACTGAAGTCTACTGTGAGATGTGAAAGAAACAAATCTGATTCAGATCGTTGAAAGGGAAAATGCAATCAACACTGTAAAAGGATTGTTGCTCAGGTTAATTGATGTTAAAGTCTCGCTTATTTCGAGTCTTAATAACTTGATGATCCTCTGTCCACAGCTGCATGTATGGGTCTGTTATGGACAGTCTTTGCGGCTGAGGGAGTACACATTAGACGATATCAAGGAACTGATATGCTACAGTAAGCACAAGGATGTTGGTACAGGTTCCGTGGGTAAGTCTATAAGGTATATCAGTATGGACAATGCTAACTTGTTATATATTCAGCTTGTACATAATGAACGCTAGAAATCGCTGATAATTCATAGGCAATGCAACGCTGTGTTGTTTCATACACGAAAGAAATCACCTGGCAACTTCAAAGTTTAATCGACCAATATGGCGGAAGGTTTTTACGCCATGGTCAAGTGAGTGCTGACACTCTATGATGTAGCAGTTCAAAATCTACTACTGGATAACATATTACCTTCGGTGGATAACATATTACGTATGGAGAAACCAATTAAAACAAGAAAGGCATTGGAGCAAATGCAGCAGATGGCTTCACCACATCCCCCGTACCAAAAATGGGCCTGCACCCTCCCTCACAAATGGATTGGTCTTAAATCACCCCTGTCCAAATTGTGAAGTGTTCCAACAATCTATACCTCCATCCAGCAATGGAATATTCCAACGCCTTTTGCAAATGTCAGGTCATTTGGCCCCAAAATTGAATCCATTTTACGACATGGCAGGGAAAGAAGGAGAAACACAAGGGAAAACAATGCTTTACAGTTCGTGGTGTGGTGAAGTCATAATGACAAAGTCGCTGACTCGTAAGCACAAGTGTCAGTTTAGATCAAGTTATCGCTTTATAGTGCACCTTTTCCCATCTCGTTTGACCAGGTGTGATGTGCAATGCATCCTGGGACGGTCTGACGTGCTGGCCGCCAACTCCCACAGGGAGAGTTGTGCGCATGTCCTGTTTCTCCGAGCTGCGCGGCATCCCATACGACACCAGCGGTAAGCTTAAAGACACTCAATGCAATTTTAGGGCAACTAAATAAAAAAGAAATTCTAGATGATGAATTCTTTCTAATATTGCCATTTATTGCCACTTCTTAGCACATTTTCGACATTTCTTACTTCAAGCGTTTGAAATAGCCCCAAAATAAGCTACATGAGGAGTCCCTTTACTATTCAGCACCACCAACAAATAGCTAGAACCAGCTTTCGAAATGAAAAAAGCAACCGTGTTTCGTCAGCAACATCGTATTTTTGCCTCACAGAAATCAGTTTGCTGTGGGACAGAGCTGATTCAACTAACTGCATGAAAAGACCAGAAAACTGACTTAGAAAACCCAGTTTTACTGCCCTGAAATCGCTTTGGGGGCCTTAATGGTAATGAAAATATAATGCAGCGGTAACTCAACTTATTTTCATACTGAAACTCAGTGGTATTGGCTGCTCTCAAGGAAGTGCAGAGACGTTCAATCAAAAAAACTTCAGAAAGAGCTGTAGGAGAAAGACTACAAAAATCAAAGCGATGGCGTCAGGAAGGCTAGCTAGGTTAAACGCGTTAACATAGACGGGCGGACTCTCCGTTAAAGATGTTATGTACCGAGCCGTACTGCGCAGTCAGATAACGTTGCCGCTACATCAAACACTTATAGTAACTATTGAACCAGACGCTGCCGATTACTTACAGCCGTCTCAGAAACTGCCCTGCGGTGGACAACCAACTTCTTTCAAGTTCCCCACGTTCTGCGTAGGTTGTAGAATGATGTAATAAAGTATAGTAGACCTTATCTCATAAGACAGACGTCGTTATGGGATAACAGAACACTACTTCTCCTCAGGTGCACTGCTTTAGCTTCCTGGAAGACGGATCGAGGTCTTATGGTGCAAATCTAGCAATTCATTTGGCAATATGCGTTGAAAAGGGATAAAGACTGCTATTCAGCCAAAGAACTCCAATTCAACAATAGTTGAAGTAGAAATGCATTTGCCCTTTAAGAAATGCCCAAACCCTAACGGCATCCCTCAGATATTTTTTTGTATTCCATTTGAAATTTTCTGTGGAAATCACCTTTTGCACGACGGGAGTCACATTGATGCGAGTGGGCTAATCAATTCCCGTCATGCAAAACTCTTAAGGGGGGGGGGTCTAGAGGAGCTGGGCGGCGGGGAACAAATATACTACCGGCCCGAAGAGAGAGCCTATGAAGTAGTGCAAGTTTGCACAGAACAAAAGTGAAAGCAACTAAAAGTTCTAATCGGGAACTATGCGGCCCCAGATGCCTTACTGAGGGACGACTGTATTACACCATGAGCTAGATGTTAACTTGAGGAATGACTCCACTCTATTTCTTTCAGAAAACGCGACAAAGTTCTGCCATTTGAACGGCACCTGGGCGAAGAAGGCTGACTATAGTCACTGTCGTCCGGTCAACAAAAACTCCAGCGTGGATGACAGTAGCGTACGTCATGCTCTGCTTTTGTTCAGCTGATTACATTTTGCATGAGTAAAAAGAAAGCAGCTTATTACACAATTGTACATACAGAAATAGTCAATACGGCTATACGAAAGTTTTAAGAAGGTATAAAAAAGATTCATATCAACGCACCATCAGGACACATACTAAACATTTTTAGAAAAATACTATGTACAGGCAAGCATAACACGTTACCTTATTAATTATAAATGAAAGATTCGACTGAAAGCTCATCCGTGTTCAACCTGGTAGAATACATAGACCATAAATTTTCGGTCGAGGTCACCAACCTTGGTCAGATGTATGATGCACTCGCTGACCCTCCGGAAGTCGGAAGCGTGATGTCAACGTCAGGAGTGCATCAAAAGTGGCGGGAAGACGGAATCTTCCACCGTCACCCTCTCGAACCGTGACGGTGGGAGATTCCATTTTCCCGCCACTTTTGATGCGTTCCTGACGTCATCACTTTGCCGACTTCCGGAGGGTCAGCAAGTGTATCATACATCTGACCAAGGTTGACGAGATCGACCGAAAATTTATGGTGAGCTTCCTTCTTGTGTTGGAACAAAGCCTGAACTCTCTAACTATAATCATATGAGCATTGTGAGCAATGGGAGCAATTATGAACAGTTTTGAAATCATTTCATTATACCGCACGCAGAGCGCTAATGACCAAAACGGAAGATAGATTATATTCAAAGACCCGTAGCTAAATGCACCCAAGCTGTTTTGAAGTGATTGTCGTATTTCTTCTTTCAGAGACATTGGGAACAGCATTTGGAGAACGCCAAGCTACTCCAGGACATCGGACATGCTATCTCTCTCGTCTGCCTGGTCTTTGCGTTTGCCATGTTTGCCTATCTTAAGTGAGTACGTTAATCGAGGTGATATTCCAATGGCTACAAGACAGTATCAAATTGGCAGATAAAGCAAGACAGTATCAAATTGGCAAGACAGTACTATGAAATTGGCAAGAAAAAGCAAGACAGTATCAAAATTTGGCCAAAAACAAGACAGTATCAAATTGGCAAAAATATGCAAGACGGTATCAAATTGGTAAAAATATGCAAGACGCGGTATCAAATTGGCAAGACAGTATCAAATTGGCAGGGCAGTATCCATATGCCAACTGAAGTTTGGCTGGCGTAAAGAATACAAGTGGAAAAAGAAAGCCCGATAAAAACGCTCGAAACCACGTCAAGGATACGCTTAAGCCTAAACTTCTGCTCGGAGAGTAGTTAAGTGCCTGTTGATAACATCCTGAAAGCTTCGAAGGTCGAACTAGGAAACAACCTTGATAAAAATCGATGATGTTTTTGTACGGTGACGCAAAAGCGCATCGCAAATCTAATTGATTGTATCGCTTGCGGTAAATTGAAAGCTTATCCTGTCCATCCACTATGTAATCCTTTAAATGCTCTAATAATCCCCTTAAATGACAACTAACAAATCAATATATGTGCCAGGTAAAGACTGCGATTTGGTTGAGTCGGTAAAAAAAGCTTTAAGCCCGATCGGAGTACTCGAGTGTCTGTCAACAGAAACTCCGATCGGAGTCTGTCGGTACATATCTCGTGAAAGCTACATGATATAGTTACTGCCTGCTATTGCCTGCAATCAAACTTTAAGATATTTTTAGTTCCTTTTCGCTGAGAAGAAGTGAGCCTCATAAAAATGCAAGCCAGCGTCTGGGATCAGCATCTCCCATGTCCTCCCCAGTGCGCTCGTGACAAAAATACACCAAGGTCAGACTTTAGTGCGTAACAACATGCGTTATCATCGTCCCGACTGACTACCTCATTATTTCCCCATTTTCTGACGGGCTTGATGTTGTACAAAGCCCCTTAATGGGCCTTTGGACAGTAGCCAAAGTCACACTCAAGAGAAACTGGTAGAGAAAGAATACGCCATATAGTGTTGTACATGTGTGCTGCGGTTTCAATAACACATCACATCACTAGATAAAACGTGGCACTGTGAGGGCATCTGTAAATGCACGCTTATTGTACTTCGTAATGAAACCAAACAGGGGTTTGATAGAGATAATAACAAAATGAAAGCAGATCTAAATGTACCATTATGGTGTCCCTAAAGTTGACATGAAAGGTGTCGCTATTTTACGGTTCCTTTACAAGGACAAGCTTCTCGAATTGAATAGTATGTTCCCTAATAATTACCAGTACAATACTGCTGGCTATAGCTCTCCTTCAGATCATTATTAAGTTAAGTGGAGAATGGATCAGGATGTTCCCGTATAACTCAGTCATGTCACGGTTGTAGTGATGCATACTGCATAGCCTCCTATGGAATTTTGAGCACTTTGCACGATTGATAAACCCAACAAATTTCTAAGTGATCTTTAACAAATGTGTTTTTGATATGCAACTCACAGCACTACTACACGTATCTGTTGGGCATTTTGCTCCATATTCAATGCAGGCAGTTTTAATTACGATTTTCGTCTGATGAAACCAAAACGGCATTGATTAGAAGTATATATGACTTTTTTGTTAGGAGCATCCGCTGTACGAGGAACAACATCCACTGGAACCTGGTGGCAACCTTCATCCTCAGGAACACCAGCTGGTTCATCATTCAGGCGGTGGTGACTGTGGAGGCAGTGCGGGACAAAAGTGTGAGTTTAAGTTCATTACAGGTCGGTCTGTAAAGGGATAGTTCACATGCTGGCCGTGCAGGGACACAGTTTATATTTTAGAAGTCGTAAGCTGGGCCGCTTCAAACGTTAATGAGGTCGCTTTGTATGCAAGAAGAAAATGATAACGTGCGCACAGGGCATCATCGGCGTCTGCAATACGCCTCGCACAGAATAGAATGCAAGAGTGGGTATTTCTAAACCCTGGTACATCTCTTGTGTATATTCTTTAACACGCTGTACTTTCTGTGTGTTATACAGTGGTACTGCCGGGCAGTGGTCACACTCAACAACTACTTCAGCTCCACCAACTTCTTCTGGATGTTTGTGGAGGGCTTGTACCTACACATCATGGTCGCGCATGCGTTTAACACGGAGAAATTCGACCTGTGGGTGTATGCCATGGTGGGGTGGTGTAAGTCTGAACACTTTCCGCTTCTATGCAGGTTTCCTAGGACTACTTGTCGTTATGGTAGAAAATATTAAATATATGATAATACATAATATATCTGTGTCGACTATGAAGGTGTTAAGGTGGTCTTATGGCTAGGGCTGTGGATTTACAATTCGAATGTTCTGGGTTTAAATGCCCGCCAGGCCCTATTCTTGGAATATGCACTTATTCCCCCACTTGACTCAGGTAAAATGGGTAAAAGGTGAATTTACGATAAAGAAACTCCTATAATGGCGATGCAGAGACAAAATACAAAACTTTTCGAAGAGGTACATCTCTTTGTATGCTAATCCTCGTTGCAGACGTTGCAAAGCACAATATAACACAAGGGATTGTATGATTGATTAAAATCGATTTTTGTATGTGTATGTATATATTATATATATATATCCATGGTATATGTAAAGAATAATGAGATCACCTCAGTCTGGACGCGAGCACACGTACTGTCCATTAACGCAGCCAGATAATGGCAGGAGCGCTTTTTGTCGCCTGGATAATGGCCACAAATGGCGATTGTGGGGACAAAAATAATGAGATTTTTTGCAATGACAAACAGGTGTCATACCAAAAGTACTGGCACCATGCGGAGTCCGATCAATTATTAACGTGTGGAAAATGTAAGTCATCCATTTAGAAAAGCTGGCGTCGAAAAAAAGATTGAAAAGATTTCGATTCTAGCGTTGGGGATGAGTAGGCAACAACCAGCCACCTGAGTTGTGAAGTACAACTTCGAGACAATATCACGAATGCAGTTCTTTGCACTGGAAATATTTCTATCTTTTAAGTAGTTTAAAGGTAAAGTAACTCATAGTGGAATAAATACCATCTTCTCACACACCATGCGGTCTATGATATGTACTCTGTTACAAGATTAAGGCACGCAAACGTGTTTTCATAGATGATCACATAACGCTCAGGCGTGAGCCAAAAGACATGTTGGTGAACAATCGACATCTACTGCGGGTTTGGAACGGCAACATAGACATTCAATATATTCTCGATGCGTACAGTTGTGTCAGGTACATTGCGTCATACATCTGGACGTACATCAAAAGCATCAAGGAAAAATGATAGTCAAGGCATACTGAATGATTACATACAGATATGTTAAGTGGGCTTACTGTTGTTCTAGGCGTCCCAGTGCCCATCATTGTAGCGTGGGTTCTAGTGAAGGTCCTAGCACAAGATGAAGGGTAAGTGTTTCTTTTGTTTTGTTTTTTCATTACGTTTGCGCTATACTGATTTATTTTGAAAATAATGAACACATAACAAGGAAATTTGAATTGGATATTAACTAATATGTATAAAGTAATAATCAATATATGCGAGGGAGATCAATAGCTTACATTATTCTACAGACCTCCCTTTATCAACTAACAATTCAAATCATTGAAAAAAAGATATATTGATATCAGATATGACTGAATATCTGTCCACAGGTGCTGGATCTCTTCAAGCTATTATGACTTCATCTTCCACGGACCAATCATCCTCATCTTACTGGTTAGTTTTTTTTAACATCTTCAGAGTTAACTTTTATTTATTAAGCTTTACAGATTAAAAAAAACTGTGAGGAGCCGGCAACAGAAAGCTGGTTTCTCTACGAGGCCGGCTCCAAAGAGTTGGTCAACTATTGCAATGACAGCTGTCGTGCTGGTAAAATCAGTTTTCTTGCCAGTGACATATGTATGTCCAGTGTAGAGATTGTGATTTGTCTGGAACAATTCCTGATTCTACTGGTAAAGATCGCGACCGGTCACCACTAACCATGGAACTCTCATCAATGATGAAAGATCCTCGCCATAACACATTTATGGCGAGGATCTTTCATCATTGATGAGAGTTCCATGGTTAGTGTTGTCTGCTATTTGTATACAAATACTAAACTGCAAGTAATTCCATCAATCTAAAGCGACATGAAAAATTCTGACTATCTTTCAGGGCTCCGAATATTACCGATTCTACCAGATCAGAGTCACTACTCTAGATCTGACATACATGAAATTTGTACATATCGTTGCAGGTAAACTTCATCATACTCGGAAACGTTGTGAGAATACTAGTCTTGAAGTTGAGGGCAAGTCCTGAGCATCGGGAGGCCACTCACTACAGGTAGGACACTCAAATTCTGCATGATTTCCCATATGTCAATCTGACCTTAGCCTGGCCTTCGCAAGGCCCTACTAAAGCCCCTGTCACACATTCAGATTATTCCATTTCCCCAAACACCTGACAATCAAGGTTCGGAGCAGTCTGATCAAATTAATTATTATACGAATTGAATCTGATTGTGCTTACATGTACAACCCTTTGTACCACTTACTGTTCCCCGATGTCGTTTGTGTGCATCCATGTAGCCCCAACAGTCCGGGAGGATCTGCCTCTCCAAGGCGCGCTTCCTATAGGCTGCGCTTCAGGTACATAGAGTACCTTTCTATTGGCCAAAAACAATTCCCTTTAACGTTTATTCTTTGTAACCCGTGAAGGAGGTCAGTGACCTCCGGCGAAGTATTGCGGCCAGTTGGTTTTTATGTGTTCGCAGCTGTAACTCACGATCCGTTTGCTGCTTTGGTCTTTGTATGGCATGTCGTCTGCTGTATGTGCGGGATGATGCACGTTGTTTGATTCAAGATGATTTTATTAGACTAGATAATGTAATATTGCAAAACGACACCCCATATTGAGGGTTTGGAACAGTCCCTATCTGTTTTTGTGGGTGGCCTGATCATGATGCTTGTCTGTTGTTTTGAAGCATCAAGGCGGCCAAGGCTACAGTTGTGCTGCTGCCTCTCCTCGGGGTGACCTACGTGTTGTTTATAGTCCACCCCAGCGGACAGGGAACCTCCAGACTCGTCTTCATCTACTTCAACTCCTTCTTCCAGTCATTCCAGGTACAACTGAACTGGTTCATGACGCTTTCATTTCATAGCAATTGTAATGTTTGCAAACATGCTGTTTATGCCCGGTTTCGTCATCTCAAGAAAATACCAGATGTCTATCACCATGGTAACTGGTGCTATAACAGAGACACTGCCGTGTTGGATTACATAATGCAGCATGTTAGAAGGGTTGCCTTCTCACTCTCTCTCTCTCTCTCACTCTCTCTCTCTCTCTATATATATATATGTGTGTGTGTGTGTGTGTGTGTGTGTGTGTGTGTGTGTGTTTGTTTGTGTTTGAGTAAAACAAAGTAGTACATAGTTCATTGTACTAGACCGTGGTATTTATAAAACAAAGTAAGCTTGATGGTAGAATTGGGGCCTCCTAGTATATATTCATGGTACTGCAATTGGTCTTGATTGATATATACTACCCTGTAGGAACTAATCCATGATATTATTGTATCCATCATCATCATATCTACGTTATATGTACTTCTAATTAGCCTTGAGGCGTGTGTTTGCAATAACCGCATTATTAACTTCTTCTCTGTTCTGTTTTCAGGGATCCTTTGTGTCAATCATCTACTGTTTTACCAACGCCGAGGTAATGATAATTCATCAATCATTTTCATATTTGATCCAAACATAAATGTGATAAAGTCTTACTGAATCCTCAGCATGTTGGAAGCATGTGAAAAGACTCATTTGGCAGCCTTAATGTACGCTTAATGTACACTAAATTGTGACCTAGCAAATGGAATCTTGTAAACTCTCAGTCTCTCTGTCTGTCTCTGTCTGTCTGTCTGTCTGTCTCTCTCTCTCTGTCTCTCTCTCTCTCTCTCTCTCTCTCTCTATATATATATATATATATATATATAGTTGAGTAATATTCCCCTCTCCACAGATCCGCAATGCTGTCAAAAGAAGGATACACCTCAGCCGCTGCAGGCAGCAGGACTTTGTCTAGTGATCCTTAAAAGAACTGCAGAAAAACATCTATTTTTACAGCTGATGGTGTATATGACACACGACGAAGCCCTTAGGGTACGGACCACAGGAGAATAGGTAACAGAGATGTCAGGCTAAATTGTGCATTCCAATAGCGTCATGTCAAGGTCATTAGTTACCACGCTATGATTCAATCAAATTGAGCACAGCGGGATGTATGATGCTCACAGTGGGTTGTACATTAAATTATCAGGAAATTTGAAGAAATTGGGATATATCCGATTGATTCAATCATGTGTAATGAGGTGTCTAAGGATGATGCAAAAAGGTCTTTATGCTGTAACGGTAGTGTACAAGGCAAGTGCAAATGCATAAGCTGTATTGTACGTGCATATTAGGATTTGTATATATATGGTGACAGTTGTCTGGGCTCATAGATCCATAAATGCACGGTACGAGATACTGGGAGGACCTGTCTTGTAATGTACTTCGTTGCACACCAAACATTCCGTAAAGGTATGACATTGTACTCTGTGTATGAATCATAGTCCGTCTGCGCTGCGATGTCATGTTTCTATATACATTAAGATATCCAACGTGGATGTTCACTAGAGTGAAGGAAATTAAATATTTACGCGTTATTCAAGATAAAATTCCGTGCAGTGATAGCAATACATGTTCTGAATCATAAGCAGGATTTTGTGTCGTGTTGACGGAATAAACTTAAAGTTGCGTTGTGTCTGATGGAGAAGTCCTTTATATCGTACTTTTCGTTCCCAACAGCTGCCGAGCTGCCGTGCATGGGAATTGTGACCTCAGCATAAGATACGCGCACAATATTAATGCACATCATCTTTGACATATTTATTGCTTTAGTATTGGTAAAGAACCCCACAAAACATCCGATCAAGTGATAATGTTTAACCAACCTTTGTGATCTCCAATACATATAAACAAATGACCACAAAAGCATGCAACAACCCAAACCATAAGGGTGACGATATTATCACATCAGCAAATCCACAAAATGTACAACTCAATGAAAGCGTTACCATCAACATTAAATTTGTTCCACCTGTCCTGTAGAGCTATGGCGACGGTCAAGTTCCTCATACAAATAATACAGGAAGTGAACTTTTACACCTTACAAGGGTTACACGTACATTTCTTATACCTTATAATGATATGCTTTAGTCTGAAGAATTGTAGATGTATAAGTTATGATTACCATATATATAACCATAAAGAAACACTACTTACGTTGTTCACAAATGAGCAAGATGTATAGTACCCATAGGTTACTTTCAAGAGTAGGAAATTTCCAATTAAGAGGCATAATACTGCAAATTCATAATCTGTCTGTTTCCATTACAGTAAAGCAACAATCAAACCTTTTTTTTGTCAGAATAAAACATATTCATACACGAACACAGATAACGCTAAAGATCTATAGTTATGCTTACACTGACTATTGTTAGTTTATTGTAACATATACATACGCTAACATAGAGATAAATAGAAATATAGTGATACTTACAGTTCATTCTAATGTCATGACGTCAACTCCACAAGCAGCGAGGATAAAAGGCTAAAATCTAGATTGCGCTTCTGTACACGAGAGGGAATGTTCCGAAGTTATTACAATTAATTCTTCTGTAGGTACGAAAACACTACAGTCCTTTATACACTTACAATGTGATACAGATTCTTTAAATATATATACACACATCAATTTTACAAAGTTTTGAAATATAATACCTTAAAATATACCATGTGCAAGGACATCATCATATAAACAATTGATTTCTTGAGTATTCAACTGATGGAGTGTATTAAATACTGTTCCATCGAAAAAGGTTATACTTGGTATGAACAGTTTGTTTAAAATAGAGTCATTCTAATGCGCCAGAATAGGTCTGGTTATTTTTTCAATTAGTGGAAAAGGCTGATATTTCCATATGTCCACATTTCGACAGGTGACCTTTCTGAACCTTATAAAGCAACCCAAACCTTAACTGTGGCGATAGCCAAGTGGGTAGAGTGTTCAGTAGGTTGCGAGTCATACAAAGACTTTATAAGAATGACATGTACTGCATCCCTGACTGTGTGGCTAATATGAGACGGGGGTTCGCCATGCCTCCATCAGGGTGATTTGTAGGGAATCACCAACTTCCAGATGGTGAACAGTCGTACACCGGGGCATGTCACTGCTCTTTTTTGAAAGGCGTGGTGGCTCTACCCAAACACGGGACCGCCTATTACGCTTTATCATAGGGACGTCCCTACCCTAAAATGGTACTCATTTTCACCTCACGATCTTGGATACAAGTGCCACTTATTATGGCATGTACAAACTAAGAAAATAGAATCTGATTCCTCATTTATCCGTCCATGCCTTCATTCGTTCACTTAAAATGCTTCAGCAGCATTCAAACAACAGATTCTGTACATGTCGTTCCGACAGCTGGATTCAATCGAAGGATTGAACACTAAAATAGAATCTTATCTTTTTGACAGTTTGATATCCAAAGAGTCAAAAGCAAGCTGTCACTTAATGTATAACCATTTTGTTCCATAAATAATTTCATCAGGATGGTGAATGATTGAATAGCAAAGTTCCTTATTCACAACGTTTTGGCTTACATTCTTACTGATAATTGTTTTACTGACATCGAGCTTCAGTGTCACCTTCAGAACCTGTACCACCTAGCTTCAGTGCACAGTGAGCCAGTACCACCTAGCTTCGGTATACAGTGAACCAGTAACTCCTTGCTTCGGTGCACAGTGAACTAGTCATAAGAGCCCTGATGAAGATGACGGGCACCCATTGAAACGTCAGCTCTTGTTAAACAAGTGTCGATAAGAAAAAAAACTTTGCTTTTCCACTGTTATTGTTGTTTTACAACGGTAGAAGAAAACCGTGGACGTCTTACGCCGTGTGGACGATGACGCTCTTCTCGTAGGCAGACGTGTCTCGTATGCTGACGTTCTTGTTGCCGTTGCTGGGTCCGGCCGTGATGCTCGTCATGGGCATGTGTTTGGACGGAGGGGAGGCAGACGTGCACCAGTGCTGGTCCCGCCAGATGTCCACATGGCGCTTGATTGTGGTCTGAACCTACAAACGAAGGAGGAATGAAGACCTTCATCATCCGTATTTGTCTAGGCCCCACAGGGCCAAGTACAAGTAACAGAAATGTAGATTTTACAAATATATATATACAGGATAGTGTTTAGCATGACAATCTAGTTTGTAGATTTTTACTACTCTCTATCCAAGCTGATGTTAAGGCTTAAACCAGTCGGAATTGCCCTGAGGAAGGTGACAGACGTTCACCAAAACGTCGGCTGAATAATACTTTGTTGTGTAAAAAGAGTCTCTTTACTCAGGCCTGGGCATTCTTACCTCTGTGTTCGTGAAACAGTAGATGATGGACACGAAGCATCCCTGAAACACAGTCAGAGGAAACGGATATCTTGAAAGTCATCTGTGTTGTTAGAAGTCCTTAGAAAGCAAGTTTAAATTGTTATTTCCTATATATACGTGAAAATCGTCAGCATAAGATTGATAATCGAAGATATATTCCAGTAATCTGTACCTGAAAGGACTGCAGGAATGAGTTGAAGTAGATGAAGAAGAGTTTTGATGTTCCCTTGCCGCTGGGGTGGACAAAGAACAGGATGTACGTGATGCCCAGCAGGGGCAGCAGCACCACGGTCGCCTTCACCGCCTTGATGCTGAAACATGGAGGAAAACAAGAGTTCCACGATCTCATACCTTCGCCAAATGATGTTAACCCTTCGGGTGGACGAATTGATTTTGCAAATGATAGAATTTCATCATTTATTATGGAACTTAGATCCTGATTTGCATAATTATTATTCATTCATGACAAGCATCACTTCCGCTACCTACATAACAAAAACCACGACAACCTGTCAACCGGTTCTTTAGTAATCCTCCTTCGATGATTTTTCAACAAACGCTCCTGCAGTTCCAGGACAAGCTGCCAGGAGGACTAAACTAATTCTAAAATTTGTGACTCTAGAATGCCCATTGCCTTTTATTTTCCCATTTCCTTTCTGAAAAATGTTGGATGATTTCGATATCACATATGCCCTTACCTTGATTGTAACTTATAGGAAACACGTGACATCCTTTGAGTCGTGCCGATTCCATCTGCCGAGTACTCGCTACAAATTCAAACACACGTTTATTTATTTATTTGCTGAATTTTCAACTTTTGGATGGGCCGAGCTATAAAAACATGAAAATAATCAGTATAACAAAATTTTAAGATAATAAATTTGTGATAAAACATTGTAACACAAGTAACCGAAAGTATACGTGAAAAAATGCATGTGTTAAACTGACCTACCCAAGATCCATCTCCAGAGACACGGGATTTGATATACAAGACCTCAAATCAACCATGGCGGACAGATCCCTGTGGAGTACAGTGGTGCAGCAACTTACCCCGCCCGACAGGGACGACGGATGATGATGATGATGATGTTACATGAAAACAGCCGACATTGCCCCGACCTAACCCCGACCTATTCTTGATCATGGTTGGGGTAAGGTCGGGAGGCCATATACGGATATGTGTGGCTGAGGATTAAGTCTGTGTGCGTGCTTCTCACCTGTAGTGTGTTGTATCCAGGTTGTTCGGACTTGCACGCAGCTTCAAAACCAAAATTCTCACAATGTTTCCAAGGATGACAAAGTTGACCTAAGGAGAAATAAAGCATACATGACGTATTTCTGGATTCCTTGACAGATGCAGAACTTAGATGTTGTTGTAGTGTTTGCGCAGCTGTGTGGCCCAAGGCTACCGAGACGATGAGGGGCGCCGCCATATACACCATATGGTGTGGGACAGAAGTATACTGAACTTAACTTTAAAAGTTCAATATAAAAGTTTATTAGTGGAAGTGTGGGGATTGTGATCTCACCAACAAGACGAGAATGGTGGGTCCGTGGTAGATGAAGTCATAGTGGTCCAACCCTCCAGAGGTGTCAATCCAGCATCTGCAGTTCACAATGTTGTAAACGTTTTGTTAACTATTTTCATTATTATCTTATCTTCATTATATATGCAGACCAAACTGGGCGTCAATATTGTTTTGGCAACTGGGTTCAGGTTACTTTTCGGGCCAGAGAAATCGGTTAAAGGGGCTCAAATATTTGAAATACGCTTCAAATAGCTACACAATAGTGTTACAAAGAATTCTTATTCAGAGGTCATTCTGGCCCATTCCGCCTCTCGTGTGAAGATGGTCATTGTGGATGCTTCACATCTATACGATGGGGAAAACTGCTGGTAAGCATATAGATTTTTTTTGTCCTTGAGAATATTGACTTGCAAAGTTGATGGAGGTGAAAAAAGTAGAGTCAACATGTAGGAAATCGATTGTGAACGAACTCCATCACTTAAAGCGCACTCCATTTCGATTTGAGCATCCTGCCCTGGGTGAATACGTCTCTAAATGCAAACGAAAGGATTTTCACGACCTTGAGGGCTCCATTGCTGGAAATGATGACGATACCATGCGCTACGATAGACAGACTAGCAGGTACGAGTAACGCACCTATTTCACAACTAGCCTCTACCAGGCTTCTGGAAGTGGCTGGACAGAGGGGGACACCTAGCTTCAGTGCACAGTGGACCAGTAACACCTATCTTCAGTGCACAGTGAACCAGTAACACCTAGCTTCAGTACACAGTGAACCAGTAACACCTAGCTTCCGTGCACAGTGAACCAGTAACATATAGCTTCAGTGCACAGTGAACCAGTAACACCTAGCTTCAGTGCACAGTGGACCAGTAACACCTAGCTTCAGTGGACAGTGAACCAGTAACACCTAGCTTCAGTGCACAGTGAACCAGTAACACCTAGCTTCAGTGCACAGTGAACCAGTAACACCTAGCTTCAGTGCACAGTGAACCAGTAACACCTAGCTTCCGTGCACAGTGAACCAGTAACACCTAGCTTCAGTGCACAGTGAACCAGTCATAATTTCCATTATGAAGAGGGCGGACAGTCATTAAAAATTCAGGCCTCGTTAAACAAAAGGTGGTAAATAAAGAATTTTGCATATGTACCTTTCGTTCTTCAGGAAGATTTTCACCATCATCCACGGGACAATGATTGGAACTGGAACGCCTGGGGTAACCAATATTGACAAATGCATATCAAGAAAACTTTTTTTTTGATAAATCTAACATGTCATATAGGCAACTATATATCACACAGAAAGCGCACTTGCGTGCAAAGAAAGATGTAGATTATATAGATTTAAACTCCTTTGCGAGGATTTACGGTCACCACCTCTGCCTTTTCAAAGCTAAGGATGCATATGTACAACACTAGCGCTGTATATGTTCACAAGACGTGCCCTTGTACTTTGCCCCAACCTTGTTCGCTAAGACATCTGTGAGCCCGGGGGCTTCTTCACAACTCCATTCATATGTAATTTCTTTTAACTCAAAGTTAAGAAACAGAAAATGAAAAACCTGTCCATCCTCTATCCGTGGAGACTTCTACGCCCCCCAAACCCCAAAAATATACATCAACACAAGGCTGAATTTGCACGAGAAGTGTCCTTGCACTCTGCCCCTATCCTGTTTGAATTGGCAATTCCACTGATCTGTGTGCTTCTTTAAAGATCCCTTCATATGCAATGGTGTCTTTTTATAGTTCATTTTCCTGCGCTATTCCACCTCGGGCGGAATTTGTGTGTCCATCTGCGATTCGCTGTCGACATGTCCTTGAAAACTACTGCCTTGACCGGAATTACATTACATACAAACGTCCTGCCCTTTTGAGAGGATTCCGGGGCAAACCATCACCTTAGCCTCCCCCTGCGCTGCCCCGATATGTACTTGTAATGATCGCAAAGTTTGTAAGAAGGGCGTAAAGTGCTCTCAGTATGACCTGTTCTCTGGTGCCAATCTTCCAGGTCCCCGTACTTAGAGCTCTACTTTGATGTCAAACCCTCGAGGACGTGTTCTAAACGTCTCATCAAGTTTAGCTGAAATGACTTTAATCTAGACTTGGCAGTAAGGGACTTGATTACAGAAAGAATCATTATGGAAGTTATGCACTTAAGTGTACAGAAATATGTGGATGTACGGATTTAACTCGATGAAAAAACATATTCAGGGCTATTAGCTTCCTCGGTTCACTGAGCATCGTTTGTAGCTCTTTCGCTAGACATACATAGCTGAAAGTTTGTCTTTTCTCTTCAAGTCGTCCAGAAATTTAAATGATCAGAATCAGAATCGTGATTTCTTTCAGCTTAGATGTACATGTATGAGACATGAAAACATGGCCGTTCTCAATCTATGGGCACTTCTACATACAATTCGAAAAGAATACATCAACACAAGCGCAGTATATTTACATGAGAAGTTCCCCTGTACTTAGCCCCTATCCTGTTTGAATTGACACGTATGCTGATCTGTGAACTTATTTCAAACAAACTCCCATCATATGTAATTTTACGCTTGCTATATTCAATTCCAGCCTGGTGAGACGCCATGGTTCTCGGAGTAATCGAGTATGAGTGAGTGAGTTTGAGTATTCCATATTGGGTGGTATTTGTGTATCCATCTTTGTTCGAATTCACTCGACGAGGTTCTCTATCATTCAAAACTCCTGAATTGAACGGCTGTTGTCACTGCAAGGAATTTAGATTACGTGGACTTCCGGTCCTCACAGAGGCTTAGTCTCCCCCTGTTCACCCTGCATATTCCTGCAATAATTGCAAAGTTTGTAAGGAGTCACGTTTTTTCTCAGTATGAATTGTGGTTCCCTGCATTCCTCCACGTCTTCGGTACTTAGGGCTCCTCTTTGATTTCTACATCTCAAGGAGTTTTCTAATGGTTTCCCTTCCCAGAAAGAGCCTTACAGAAAAGATATTCCCCTTAAAACCTCTCATCTCTGTGCATGTAAAATGCAATTTCAGCGTAATTTGAAGCAATAAAATCAGTGCAGCAAGCTCCTTTATGATCTCGTGCTTAAATATGGCTGTAAGGTGAAAGTATGGCTTCTCTCCGTGATATTTTACACAAGACGTGATTTAATCAGTAGATGAATTAGCTTTTCGTACCTCGAGGGTCATTCTATAAGCTTCTGGTTGTGATCCGAATCCCTACCCTATAAGCTTTTCGTGGAAATACTCCCACAGTTTTAATGTGCGCCAAGCCTTTGAAATTCACTTTGTCCCATCCATAGTCAAGACACACGCCTGTGCTTTATTTCTAAAGACAACTTCCGTTCCAGCGAGCGTTATTATATGTAGAGGGATGAAATCTATTATCCCCATCTAACCACCCTTGGGGTGCTCCCGTGTGTATATATTATACCATTCATACTTCTGCTGTGCCCTGTACACTAGGTTGTGCAAAAAAGATTATTGCATGTACTCACACCAACCAATCAGCGCGTAGACCCAGAACTTGATCCGCTCGGTCCCGAACGCATGCGCGATCATGATGTGGAGGTAGAGCCCCTCGACGAACATCCAGAAGAAGTTGGTGACCTGGAAGTAGTTGTAGAGGGTCACGGCAACCCGGCAGTACCACTGGAACAAACAGGAGTCTCTTCGTGAATACAGACATGTACATACACAAATACTCTACAAGCAGAGGTTGGTGGGGAGATTGTTACCAGTAGTGTGATAGTGACAGAAAAAAAGGGGCATTTATTAGAAAGGTAACAATCTTCATCATCAACGTTTGTAGAGTAGACACAAATTCCTAGTACAATCAAATGACAAAAATATATTTTGATTTCACTTGAACACACTCGTAGGGTATAATATTTTGGCATGTCCACTTCCTGAATGGCACTTACTTACAAAGGAGTTTGGTTGCAATTGATTCAACTTACAACTGTGCTTTGTAAAGAAATGACAAGAAAATTGACTTTTTAATCGTCCTGATATTACATAATGCAGCTGTATATGTACGATTTGGGGGTTTTCTAGTGCAACCCATCACACTGCAGCGATACGCAACTAATGCGGAAGTAACTATGTCACTGCAGGGCATAAAAAATCAAGGGTCTATGACCTGATTAAGACACCAAATTATTGGGAAATATTGTGTAAAGGTGTCAGCAGGACAAGACGTACGCTGTTGTCCTGCACGGTCTGCACATCCACCACCTCCTGAATGATGAACCAGCTGGTGTTCCTGAGGATGAAGGTTGCCACCAGGTTCCAGTGGATGTTGTTCCTCGTACAGCGGATGCTCCTATATTAGGAAACACACAGCATTCGTAGCCAACTGAAAGTTTATTGCACAGCATCGGACGATATGAAGTTGTAAGAAGTGTTTCATTGTATAGTTGAAGTATATGGACCTCATGTGAAGTTATCTCCTTTATTACTTATCAATTAGTGATTTGCAGTGCATCTTGTTATCTTTCGTATATGTTTTTCCTGCAGGACAAAAGGAAGAATAGTGACTATGTATACTAATTGTGCATCCAAACTGAACTCGCCAATTTTATCAAGCAAAATTTCAGGCAAAGCTTTGTTAAAGAACATAAGCTAACTACATTGCCACAATGTACAGTGCAGGGTCTTTTATATAAGTCTACCGGTTGTATCAATCTAATACAATACACCCGCACACGCACTAAGCTGTGCAATGTATAAACTTTATGTAAAAAAGACAAAATAAAGTTTGTTTGTTTGTTTGTTTGTTTGTTTGTTTGAACAATTATTGATTAATTAATGAATAAAGACCTTGATTGTACAAACATGCCCACTGGGTTAAGTACAAAGGTTAACTTGAGTACACAAATATATACACAACAAGATCAATCTAGTACTAGCACTACAGTCGACGTCTGTTACATAATTTCGACTTCTCTTCGCTTCTCTGTGATGTTGAAAAGATAAGAACATACAAGTTTAAGGATCGGGGGTTTGTCTAAGTTCATTAAAAATGTGAATTTGTCTGTATTACATAGGTGTGTAAAGTTGGGAAACATCGATGTTATCCGTCTATAAAGTTCAATTCTCGCACTGTTATACAAACTACATTCTACTACGAAATGAAGTTCATCTTCTATTCTATCTAGATTACAGTATCGACAAATACGTTGTTCCAGACGAGTGAGAAGCTCAACTTAGCCTGCAGGACGGTTTTCATTGAGGTCATGAGGGAAGAGATAAGTTGTCTGGTCTGGGATCTCGAACCAGACTGATAATTACAGACCTACTCTCGGTGCTTTACATTATTCATAAACAGGCTGTATATATATCCGCCTAATATCTTACATTAGGGTGGGCATTAGGTTGAAGCACCTAATGCCTGTAATTTTCCGGAGGCGTACTTTACTGAGTATATTGAAATGTCACTGGAAAGTGTGAAGGTCGCATGAATGCTTTTCGGTGGAAAGCAGAGCCACTCATCATCTTATAAATTGAATGTTAATAAACTAAAACGTTGAATACATTATTCATACTACAATAATTCTGAAGCCCACAAGCCCATTTCATATTTAATGATTGACTAACATTAGACATAAGTGGATTATTACAGCTTATCATACACCATAAAGGTATTGGATTTGTAAGGTAATTTGTAAAGTGTTATGCCAACTATTAACGTTGGAAAACTGAAAGGAGGAAAGTACAAAGGGCACGTAAGTGGTTTGAAAGGCAGTCCTGAAGATGTGGAATGGTTAAAAGCAAAGTTCTTCCCTGTCTCGTAGTTTCCGGACCTTTTACCGTCGAGTGGAAAAACATGTACCAATGTCAAGGATAGAATCTCAATAGATAGGCGCTAATGTGCATAGCAAGGACATGCGCAAACTTGAAGCTAACATGCAGTTTCTGAGATCGTAACGTAAATATATGATGACATTTCTCAAATGGCATCACCGAATAGCGCTGATGATGAGAAGAGAAATATTACTTGAAACTTTCAAATCTCGTTTTAATGATGTGTGCTATATGTAGCTTTATATATCGTGATTTGTTGGTGAATGTTAATTTATAGTTTTCATCTTGCTGTGAGAAATTATTCAATTCAGCCTGAATCTGTGATATATTTTTACTTTGATATTTCTATTTTGATGAAGCACCCTTCGTCTGATGATGATGACGACGAAGCACCCTTCGTCATCATCATCATCATCATCATCACCATCATCATCATTAGATAAGTATTGCCATCATCATCAACCAAATATAGCAGGGCTTTATACAGTCTTGGTTGTACAACAGTCTCTTAACTAACCTCAGATAAGCAAACAGGCCGAAGGCGATGACCAGGCAGACCAGGGAGATGGCGTGGCCAACATTGTTCAGCAGCTTGGCATTCTCAAGATGGCGCTCCTAGCCAGGACAAATAATGAGAGACTTTATTGTAAATACAATTACGGTAAAGGTGGTCCCGTAAGACCTGGCAAAGAGAATCCTGCAGGGCACTCTGGGAGGAGGACGCCGTCGGGGAAGACAGAGAAAGTCCTGGCAGGACAACATCACAGAATGGGTATTGCTGAACCTGCCTGAAAGGATGACTGCCGCAAGAGACCTGGAGGCATCCTCCCTTCTGCCCTGTCCCCCCAACTACCAGGAGGTCAAGGGACAAGGTAGGTAGGGCCCGAAGCCTTTTTTTGAGGGCGCAGAGACAGAGGGTTTTTACCCCATTGCTGTGTCTAAGGCTGGGAGTTGTAAGGTGGAGCCTTTCCTTGTTTTTACACCGCATTTTACCTCTCCAACACCGCATTTTACCACCCTCAACCATATCCTTATACATCAAGACATGTTTGATTGCAAAGATCTCAATACCACCTTCCACAGTATCTAGAGTATATAAGTTTTAACATGGATACGTTCATGGAATAAATTTCTTACCATTTCTGCGTTCTCAGATTTGCTGCTAGCGCTGATGGGATGGCAGTTGTCGATGTAGTTCGCCTTTCTGGCCCAGGTGCCGTTTTTGTAGCACAGCTTCGTTGCATTTTCTGCCAAGAAAGGTGACTTACTATTAATAATAAGTCTATTCATATTACCAAGACATTCTGACAAGGGGCACGGTGCGGCGAACAGTAGTATAAAAAACTATACAAAAAGTATACAACTGAACTATTATAAAAAAAACGAACCGAATTTAGCACTTCACGTGCACCTGGCACTTGCCACAAGCACGTTAACTCATCGATGTGACAGAAAGTGCTTCATGTACTTTTCACAAATGTGTTTTTATTGACGTCGTGTTTGCTGAAGCGAACGACACTAGAATTTCACTACGCATCATGTGTAGTCCTTCACTGTCATGTCTTTACGGGGAAGATAGACGTTTATTGGTGGGGAAGACCTTTTCTTTCTACCAGTTCAGCTCGTCTAGACCCTGAGAATAGGTCTGTCAGTGTTTTCCTGCAATTACGCCGCTTACAGCTAACGTTACATGTAATGGGTGTAAAAGCTGGTTTGACGTCAAACGTTTGTGTTAAACGCCTCATCAAATGGCCGACAAGGACCAAACTAAAGACCAGTAAATATAGTACAGCAGAACCATTTCCCTCAAGTGAACAGTGTAACAGTGGCGGTTTATAGGCGCTACCAACTGACCTGGCCGAGGGGTCTAGATCTTTTAGCTGAATGGTTAGAGCGTCGGGGTGTCAACTGGTGCCCGGGTTTGGCGTGGGTTCGATCCCCTGCCCGGGACCAGGAGTGTCTTTCAGTTTCTACTCCCCTAATTCTCAGTGGTTCTTTGGGAGAGGACGACAGCTAACAAGGCTGACACTCATGCTAATAAACATGTGGTCTCTAATGAAACAATTGGTATAATGAAAATAATCTTTTAAAAACAATATCCTCTTGATTGTATTTATTTTGCAATAATGTTTAAAATCTGAACTCTTTTTTTGCTGGTAATGTGTGACATGTCAGCACTGATCGGCACCTGTAGTGTCATACTGTATCCCACGAAGCTGTGCGGGACAGGGCATGCTCACTAGTGTCCCAGCGGGAGCCGGCGGCCAGCACGTGATGCCGTCCCACGTGGCGTTACAACTGGGACCTGAGATGGGCAGAAAAAATAAGAACAGCACCAGTATTATATAACAATACTTAACAATTTGAACCTCATGTTATAACAATATCTATTTATGTCACAATTATTTCGCAGTTTGGGACCGCATTGTTAGCAGTATAACCTAGCTTCCTTCTGTTAACAGTGAACTAGTAACACCTTGCTTCAGTGCACAGTGAACCAGTAACACCTTGCTTCAGTGCACAGTGAACCAGTAACACCTTGCTTCAGTGCACAGTGAACCAGTAACAAGTAGCTTCAGTGCACAGTAAACCAGTAACACCTAGCTTCAGTGCACAGTGAACCAGTAACAAGTAGCTTCAGTGCACAGTAAACCAGTAACAAGTAGCTTCAGTGCACAGTGAACTAGTAACACTTAGCTTCAGTGCACAGTAAGCCATTAACACGTAAGCTTCAGTGCACAGTGAACCAGTAACAAGTAGCTTCAGTGCACAGTAAGCCATCAACGCGTAAGCTTCAGTGCACAGTGAACTAGTAACATCTCCCTTCAGTGCACAGTGAACCAGTAACAAGTAGCTTCAGTGTACAGTGAACCAGTAACAAGTAGCTTCAGTGCACAGTAAGCCATCAACACGTAAGCTTCAGTGCACAGTGAACCACTCCAGTAACAAGTAGCTTCAGTGCACAGTAAGCCATTAACACGTAAGCTTCAGTGCACAGTGAACCAGTAACACTCAGTTTAACGCACAGTGAACCAGCCACAACGAGCTTCATTGAACAGTGAACCAGTAACACCTAGACGGTCATCAATTAATTGATTAACAAAACGTCAACTCCTGTTAAACAAGTGGTTGTGAATACAAAAAAACCTACTCAATCTTCTTGTTCCCTACCTGTGGTGTAGAGACGAGCGTCCTTATGTTCATCCTGACACACCAGAGTCATGAGTTTAAACACGTCCACGCCATCGGGGAGTTTTATGGGCGTGTTGGCCTGAGTGCCGCTGGTGCCGACAACTTCGCACATCTGACAGCAAACGGAAGGAACAGACAGTCTTACAGTCAGCGGCAATATTGAATGGCCATGCAATGTATATTTGTAGTTTTTATTCATCAGCAATGATACATGTCATTACTTGGGCCACAAGACGGGATTTGAAGTATCCCAGTGAGACTTGAATTCTCTGAGAATAGATGAGTTGGTGACATGTCTGGGTAAGCTGTTCCAGGGATAAAACTGTTCTTGTAGATATTGGTTCTACATAGGTGTAGTTAGAGTTGCATGACTTGTTATTTGTTCTTTTTAAAAATTTTCATACTTTTATGTTCATTTTGCTGTCAGTATTACATCTTTGCTTGATAATACAAGAACTTTATTGCACGACAATGATAATCAGAAGCTAAAAAAAGTCCATAATAACTGTTACATATTTTGACGTCAATAACCATAGAGCGTCTTATTCACCGCATCATACTTTCATGAGCCACAAATTAGATGATATGACTTCTAATTGTTTACGTCTAGATGTACGTCATATATTTATTGGTATCCTTTGATTGCCCACAAATTAGATAAGCTACAGCAGATCACACATCTAAGCAAAACACAGTTATCACCAAGGATTGAGGTGTCCAAAACCTAATTTCAGTTTATCCTAGAACTATTGCAGATTTGATTATCACCATGTTTTCAAACCTTTGGGCAAAAATAAAGGTGTTTTTCAAAAACGAAGATGTAAGATCTTTTGATTGCTTATAAATTTCATTAATTGTTGTTGTTTGGGGCCTTCAGTCAAAGGCGTCGCTAATCTAATTGCATCCTGAAACGGTGATGGTGTCAGAAGGACTAAGTATCGGGATGTATTGTAAGATACATAAACATGACATTTGTATAGAATTTAGGGATTCTGTTAATGAGCATGGATATGATTTTATGAACATTCTCATATATTTCAGGCGATAACGAATGAGTTACTTTTTCTGGTAAGTTTGGTGAGTCTGGTTCTGGAGAGTCGCGGCATTGCCTAAAGGTGGTTTACCGGTTATGCCAAACAAACAAACAAACAAACAAAAACAAAAATGATTTACCTGCAGAATGCAGTAGAGAGTCGCGGCAACCGACCACCGTACCGGCATGGTGCCTGGGGGGTTTGCCGCTAACTACGTCACAGGGTGATGGAGCACGGACGGAGTGAGTACATCAGGCCGCTCCACATCCGCACGCTCTGACGGGTGGGACGTCACGCTACGGCAGCCTACACACGGCCGGAAACACGCAGACGTGGAAATATCATTTCATCGCTCGAGGTCTTCCGGATGGATGAAACATACGGCTTTGCATAGAAAATGTAATATGAATACTCTTTGTAACACGAGATACACAGTAGGGGCACTGAAGGCTCACCAGCAACGTGAACAACAACGAAAACATGATGAACACAAACTGTCAAGTCCCTTTTTTAGTATTAGTATTTAGTAGTAGTATTAGTATTTAGTAGTAGTATCATGTAGTAGTAGTGGTAGTATTAGCAGCAGCAGCAGCAGCAGCAGCAGTAGAAGTAGTAGTAGTAGTAGTAGTAGTAATAGTGCATGTAGTAGTATCAGCAGTTGTAGTAGTAGTAGTAGTAGTAGTAGTAGTAGTAGTAGTAGTAGTAGTAGAATAGTGGTGTGTGTTTAACTACCACACTCTTTCCCAAATACCGAGTGCTAAGCAGATAACGCAATTTGTACCACTTGTAAGTCTTTTGTATGATCTTGGATGGAATTCACGACGTACCGAAAGCAAGGCGAACATCCCACCCACTTGGGCACAGCGCTGGTGCGCCGAATATAGCTAAGTCTTTTTAATTAAGGACTAGAGATCGTGTTAGACGAGACAGCTCTGATCCGCCCATTGCTCCCAAAGAGGTTCTTAATGGCCAGGATTTGGGGGGCTTGCTGGTTTCCATGTACATGTATGAGTCGCAGCGTGGTTTGGTAAACGACGCGTAAAAGTCATTTCCAAAGATAGCCGGCGCGCAGCTGTGTGGGGTGGTATTTTCTATGCTGTTTTGTATATATCTTTCCCAGCATTCACCACAATAAACGTGGAAAGAAAATTTAAGTACATATTGACTTGTGACAACCCCTACATGCTATACATAGGGATATATATTAAAGACTGTATGGATATTAGAAACTCCTCCAACGATTGTATAAGTTGAGACCTATCTCATACTAGCCACCCACTTTTGTATTAGGTTAGCCTTATGAAAATGTAGTTGACATGTACTTGCTTAAGTTAGTAGGTGCCATACTTTGTACACTGTACAATTGTTGCGCAATAAAGTTATATACTCGTCTTTGAAATGTTAAAACACGTTTTACACTTCGAGAAAGGCTATGTTAACCATTACATGAGGGTGCTCCCATTGTGTCTTGCAAAGCCAACACGCTAATCGAAACAGCCCGGCCGGGCCCCGCCTTGGAAATGTGACCCCATCATAAGCCTAACGACAGAAAAAAGCGTATAACGAAGCTATAATTGTTCCAACTTAAACGACTTCCCAGAGGTTGGTATCGCCTGGAACACCCGGCTGTGGTTTGTTGTAAAACCCGCGGGACGATTTCACCGCGTCACCTTACGGCCAAGGTCACCACACAAGATAGGAGGTGGTATTCAGCATGCTGGTAGTCATAAATGAAGACCTGTCCTTGATATTTCTATTTATAGACCTGTCATGATTATTCATCATCTGTAGCTTCATGGGCCTGGAAGTAAATTTTAAAGGCTGGATTTGACAACACTTTGTCTGGTATAAAGTCTACATACGAGCCGACGAGGCGACGCCATGTACCATCCGTATAAAGGTACTCGCGCAGCTAAATGCCCTTTCCGGCGATCTAAAAGCTTTAAAAGATTTTGTCGGCTGTGAAAAACACATAGGTCATACATTTGTTACAGCTAATTGAACCCGCATTTGTGTACAGGCAAACCTGTAACGTTACTGGTGACAACCTCTACTCTACTAAGTAATACATTTTTGACGTGTTTAATGCGATTTCTTTTTAGTTCTGATGTCTGTTTTTTCTTCACCAGCCAAACGATAAATGCATACTACATATATCCTGCTATACACAAGGACACCCTGACATATGGCAATATGTGATGCTGTTTTGATGGCCCCTTGTATATTTTTCCATTGATACAGTCATTAAACTGTCCCCAAATGATCTTCATGGGCACTGGATTTCTGTTGTATCGACTAGAGTGTCGTCAAATAGCTACCATCCGGGTAACGTTTGATCAAATAACCTGTTGCTCAAATTGACGCAGACGCAAGCTGAGAAACAACACTAACAACCAACGCCTAGTTAAAACCGCTGTCAGAGCTAGTGCACCTTTCCTTAACCACCAACTAAGCAAAATCTGAGTTAAATCAGAGTCACAACATTTTGCAACATTCTGCTGGCTCACGAACAGTAGCCAATCTCGCCGAACACCAGCAGACCACGGCCGACCTTGCTCCCGACCGACTCACAACCACATGGTTGGAATAGTTGATGAGGCTATGTGTGACACGGGCTTAAAAAGACGCCTTCGATTTGAACGATTAACATTACACATATATATATATATATATAGATCACCCTTCCTTGGAAGTATTGTGAACAACTCCTCTTGCCGATTGACGATACTACTGAAATAAGTACTTACAGTTCAGAGATTTTGAAGCCCCTTAAACATCCAGTGTGTAGATGTTACTCCTCTGTCGCACCACCAGTGTCTACAGATATTACACGGAGGAAGCGCCAAATATACCTTCATAAACACTCTCAAAACATGTCTTAGCCACAGGCAATACCGCAAGACGAAATAATGGATATCCTTCGAATATTAACGACCACTTCTCGGTCTTTCTTCTCATGAATAAGTAATGAGATGGATGAATACATGTAAATCATTTCTAAAGAAGGTCGACGTACAATGTAAGAGCGATCATTTGGAAATTCTTATGGTTGTGTTGAACAAAGATGTCACTCTTCACACATCATAGCATATACCGACACACACATGTGAGCTTTCATTTTAGATATAAATACTGACTCATGAATAAGTAATGAGATATAAATACAGATGTTATTGTATCTATTGTATAGTCGGATCAGGGCAACGCCTTAGTGGTTAGGCTAGATTATTAATTACATGTATCACTAAAGAACAGAAAATGCCAATTCACCGCAGTCTCACACCCGCACGTCTCAAACAAGCGTAATGGATCCCACAGAGACGGGCTATTAAAAGGAAAGTGATCTAGATCCAGTTTTAGCTCACTGAAGAGCTAACCTCCCACTGGTTGTGACAGTGAAGACAGGCTCTCACACTTGCTCTGTGTACAGTATTTACAGGATACAATGAACAGCAGACCACAGCTTAACGCCCCGTCCCTGGGACTAAATAGCCTCTATCAGGCTTCGGGAAGCGACTGTAAAGAGTGGAAATCGGCCAGATAGAGAGATAACATGCCAGAGGTGTTGGTCTGCTAGAGTAGAGAGTAAGCGCCGCCATCGAACATATAGTAATTAACAAAGCTAAGATATAACACTACATAGAAATAGCACAAGAAATGCACATTATACAATATAACAATTGCTGCTGCTAAAGCACTTTGTATACGTAAATGTGTGATGGCATGGTTATGTGGTTTAACGGCCATGGTGCAGGTATTAACCAGCTATCCCCTTGTTATTTGCAAGTATGTGATCAAAATTTATTATATATAGCAAGGAGCTTGAAAACCACTGTCGGACGTGTCCCCACCGGGGCCCTGGATTCTTTTTTACTGGGAGTTAAAATCAACCCGGGGACCGCTGACAAAAATATACCGTAACCTAATTGTGACCACACCGTCAGTTCCCTTTCCGGTGCCCGGACCATTTTAATTACATTTATAGGGTGCCTACGGGGTATCATCACTCTGGGTTAGCGATATAGGTTTTTCACTGGAAACGAAGGGTGCCACAACATCTGCTGTCCTCCCGACTTCAGAGCCCGGCTGGGGGCTACACCACGCACGGGCACCGGTGGAAGTATCTGTATCTGTATCTGTATAGCCGGTATAACCGCCTTTCGGCGTAACACACTAGGAAGTGTGACCTAAGCATAACGTGCTTTATGCTAATGTCACATTTCCAAACCGGGGCCCGGCAACGTTTGGGAACGAAAAGTACGCTATGAAAGAGAAGAAAACACAAAACGTTTAGAAACTAACCATGAGTGCTATCATATACTAGTCTATAGTCTTTAGTGTTATAGTATTGACATGTTAATTTTTCGTTGATGCAAACTGCCCGGCCGGGCCCTGGTTTGGAAATCACACCTCTGCATAGAAATCTATTCCCTGAATTATGCCCCAGACGAGACCCCGAATTTACCCGCATTACGAGTTACCCGTATAGCTGCCAAGTGCTATTCCCTGGACCCAACCACAAAGCTCTCGTCTTACATGTCCGGCTAAAATTCCGGTTACGTCTGGTCAACTCTTATTGAAGTGATACCTCCAAAGACGTAACCTACAGAAATCAAAAGACCAAAAACACTTAGTGACGTTCTTGAATGTATAGGCTTTGTACACATTCCCGCGTCAGTACATGTAGATAGGAAAGTAATATAATTAAGCATGCATGGAATTCTGAAGCCGCATTTGCGATTCATAGAATTTGATGCGCTCTTCGGGAAGATTTAAGTCAAGAAAGGGAAACGCGCAACACTGGCGAGTTGGAGGAATTTCGGAAATAAGCCGGCTTATCCAGTTTGAGCAGGTTAGCCACAGTTCTGGCCAGGCAGGATGTATGACTATAGACCTTGAGATATACCAAATATAACTGAATCTCTCTACTTACTGGAAATGGTAGCATATCGACCCTGCAGAAATGGGGTTGAGAGAGAGATGTACTTCTTGAAATAAGTTTGAACAGTTATAGGCCTACGAAAATTAATGTTGTGTTTCAGATTCAGATTCAGATTCAGCTTTATTCATATTGGCATGGCATGTTAAAAGTTTAAAAAAAAACATGAATTGAGCCAATATTTGACAACGTTTAAAATACACAGAGTAAATCGATAAAAACTACATTAAAATGCGATTAAAAACACTGTACACTGACAAAATATAGTATTTCCTCGTTTTATTCTTAGGCCTTAAAAAGTCAGGAAACGTTCCGAGCGAAACAGACATCTATCTAGTTTCTTTTAAATTAAAATTTAATT